GATACAAAAACAAGACCCATATATTTGCTACCTACGAGAAACTCACTTCGGATCTAGAGACACATAAAGACTGAAAGTGAAGGGATGGAAAAAGTTATTCTATGCAAATGGAAATCAAAAGAAAACTGGAGTAGCAATAACTTACACCAGACAAAATGGACTTTAAAATAAAGACTTCCAAGAGACAAAGCAGGCTACAACATAGTGATCAAAGGATCAATCCAAGAAGATATAACAATTGTAAATACATATGTACCCAACATAGGAGCACCTCAATATATAAGGCAAATGTTAACAGACATGAAGGGACAAATTCACAGTAATATAATAATAGTGGGCGACTATAACACCCCTCTTACATCCATTGTCAAATCATTCAGACAGAAAATCAATAAGGAAACACAGGCCTTAAGTGACACATTAGACCAGGTGGACTTAATTGGTATTTAGAGAGCATTCCATTTGAAAGCAGCAGAATAAACATTCTTTTCAAGTGCATGTGGAACATTATCCAGGATAGATCACATACCGGGCCAAAAAGCAAGCCTCAGTAAGTTTAAGAAAACTGAAATCATATCAAGCATCTTTTCCAACCACAAAACTATGAGATTAGAAATTAGCTACAAGAAAAAAGCTGCCCCCCCAAAAAAAACCTGTGGATGCTAAACAATATACTACTAAATAATCAATGGATCACTGAAGAAATCAAAGAAGAAATCAGAAAGTACCTAGAGACAAATCAAAATGAAAACATGATGATCTAATCATATGGACTGCAGCAAAAGCAGTTCTAAGAGGGAAGGTTATAACGACACAAGCTTACCTCAGGAAACAAGAAAAATATCAAATAAACAACCTAACCTTATACCTAAAGAAACCAGAAAAAGAAGAACAAATAAAACCCAAAGTTTTTAGAAGGAAAGAAATCATAAAATTTAGAGAAGAAATAAATGAAATAGAGAATAAAAAACAATAGGAAAAAAAAATCAATGAAGCTAAAAGCTGGTTCTTTGAAAAGATAGATAAATTGGTAAACCTTTAGCCAGACTCAGTAAGAAAAAAATGGAGAGGGCCCAAATCAGTAAAGTCAGAAACAAAAAAGAAGTTACAACTGACACCATAGAAATACAAAGGACCATAAGAGACTATTATGAGCCACTATATGCCAATAAAGTGGACAATCTAGAAGAAATGGACAGATTCTTAGAAAGGTACAATCTCCCAAGACTGAACCAGAAAGACATAGAAAATATGAGCAGACCAATTACCAGTAATGAAATTGAATCAGCAGTTTTTAAAACTCCCATAAAAACAAAACTCCAGGATCAGACAGCTTTATGGGTGAATTCTACAAAACATTTAGAGAAGAGTTAACACCTAGCCTTCTGAAACTATTCTTAAAAACTGCAGAGAAGGAAACACTTCCAAATTCATTCTATGAAGCCACCTTCACCCCAATACTAAAACCAGACAAAAATACCACAAAAATTAATGTAAAAATTCTCAACAATTTGCTATCAAACCAACTCCAGCAGTGTATTAAAATGATCACACACCACGATCAAGTGAGATTTACCCTGGGGATGCAAGGATTTGTCGATATCTGGAAATCAATCAATGTGATACATCAGGTTAACAAACTGAGGGATAAAAACCATATGATCATCTCAATAGATTCAGTAAATGCTTTTGATAAAAATCAACATCCGCTTATGATAAAAACTCTCCAGAAAGTGGGCATAGAGGAAATTGTACTTCAACATAATGAAGGTCATATATTACAGCCCCACAGCTAACATCATACTCCTTGGTGAAAAGCTGAAAGCATTTTCGCTGAGTTCAGTAACAAGACATGGATGCCCACTCTTGCCGCTCTTTTTTTTTTTAAACATAGTTTTGGAAGTCCTAGCCACAGCAATCAGAAGGAAAAGAAATAAAAGGAATCCAAATTGGAAAAGAAGTAAAATGTTCACTGTTTGCAAATACATAGAAAATTCTAAAGAGGCTACCAGAAAACTATTAAGAGTTCATCAGTGAATCCAGTAAAGTTGCAAGATACAAAATTAATATACAGAAATCTGTTACATTATACAATATGAAAATGGAATGGGAGAAAATATTTGCAAATGATACAACTGACAATGGATTACTTTCCAAAATATACAAACAGCTCATATAGCTTAATATAAAAAAAAACAACAAACAACCCAATCAGAAATTGAGCAGAAGACCTAAAAGGATATTTCTCCAAAGAAGACATACATATGGCCAATAAGTACATGAAAAGAAGTTCAACATCACTAATTGTTAGAGAAATGCAAATCAAAACTACAGTGAGTTATCACCTCATGCTAGTCAGAATGGCCATCATTAAAAAGTCTACAAATAATAAATGCTGGAGAAGCTGTGGAGAAGAGAGAACTGAACCCTCCTACACCATTGGTGGGAATGTAAATTGGTGCAGCCACTATGGAGAACAGTATGGAGATTCCTTAAAAAACTAAAAGTAGAGTTACAATATGATCCAGCAATCCCACTCCTGGGCACATATTCAGAGAAAACTCTATTTCAAAAAGATACACATACCCCAATGTTCATAGCACTATTTACAATAGCCAAGACATGGAAGCAACCTAAATGCCCATCAACAGATGACTGGATAAAGTAGTTGTGGTATATATACAGTGAGTAATACTCAGCTTTAAAAAAAATGAAATAACGCCCTTTGAAGCAACGTGCATGGACCTAGAGATCATCGTATTAAGTGAAGTAAATCAGACATAGAAAGATAGATATTGTATAATATCACTTATATGTGGATTCTTTAAAAAATAATACAAATGAACTTATTTATAAAGCAGAGACTCAACAGACATAGAAAACAAACTATGGTTATCAAAGGGAAAAGGAAGGGGGAGGGATAAATTAGGAGTTTGAGATTAACAGATATACACTACTATATATAAAATAGATAAACAACATGGACCTACTTTATGGCACAGGGAACTATATTCAATATCCTGTAATAATCTGTAATGGAGAAAAGTCTAGAAAAATATATGTATGTATGAATATATATACATACATACATACATATACTGTTTTCCAGATTCTTATCACTGAATCACTTTGCTGTACACCTGAAACCAATGTAACATTGTAAATCAACTATCCTTTAAAAATTTTTAAATGTTAAGTAGAAAAATCAAATATAAAACTAAAACCTGAAAAAAAGTAAATTGGACTATTCTTGAGGACAAAGACCTTGTCATATTGCAACATATTGCAGAATCTAGGTGAGCATGGTACACAGACACAGAGTAGATGTTTAATATTTATTGATCAATTTTGACTGAATGAAAACTTTGTTTTCCTTTGTTCCTACAAATTCAGGGTTTGTGTGTTTTTTCCCCTTTCTCATAAATGTGTAATTTGTCATTCAGCAGGAAACACGTTTATATTTACCTTTCTGGGAAGTATCCCCAGTTGATTCAGCTTTGAGGCTCTATCGTTTTTACCATCATACCTAGAATTTGAGATTTTCATATGAAACCCACGCCTCGTGTGGATTAACCCAGTCTTAAGATACTTAAAAACCAACCTAGATATTTTCCCCATAAGATTAATGTTTTCTGTTTCCCTTGATTAAATTGAATACTTTGCATAACAATTTGTTCAAAAACCAATCACTCAGTGCCTACTCTGTTGAAAGCCCTTATAGACCAAGCATAGAGCAGAACACAATGATGGACATGGCATCATGCTAACTCTTAAATTCTGACTCTTTAGCTGGGAATATTGGACATGTGCATAGACAGATAAAATGCAAAGCAGAGGCGTGCAAGTAACAGGACCACAAATACAGCTTTTTTGGAGATGGGGCATTCTCTGAATACAAATAATAATTGTACATAGTTTATTTTCATGGAACCTCTGATACTATCCAATCATATTAACTAATGATGCATCCTAACTAGTTAATGCTGGGAGTAATATAAAGAAACAGAAGACTTGGTTTGTGCCTTGAAACACTTAATCAGGAGACGAGCCATGAATGCAAAAATAGAGGCAATGAGGGAAGAGGTAACCAATGTAAGCAAAGAGATATATGAGCTGTCATAAAGCAGAACATGATTAATTACAGATAGATTTGCATTTCAAATGCCCTCACTACTGGCTTCCATTGGTCTTTTACACTTTCTCAAGAAATCAGAATATGCCAGATGCTTAATAATAATACTGATAAATGTCTAGAGCTGAGCAGCCCATGTCAAGGTGGGAGAGAAAAGACAAGTCAGAATTCTTATGAGCGGAGTTACTGACTAAGGAAGTGGTTAGGCTTTGAGGGGTTTTGAGCAAATAGAAGAAAGGATTTGAGGCAGACAAAATAGACTAATGATGTAGAGCTTCTGTTCTAGATAATGCTGGGTTTGAGTCCCAGGTCTACTATTTTGCTCATTTTGAAGTGTTGGGCAAGTTTCTTAACCTCCTGTGCCTCAGTTTTTGTATCAGTAAAATGGGAATAACTACTGAATGTATAGGGTCGTCGCGAGGAGAAAGTGAAATACTGCACAGGAGGTTCGTAGAACAACAGGGCTTGCACAGACTAAGTGGTTAGTTGCTGCTGGCTGCTCGATACTGCTTCCTTTTTTTTTTTTTTTTCTTTTTTACTATTACAGTCTCCTCCCTGATCTGTGGGAAGAATAATGAGGGTAGGTTCACATAGACTTTTTTGGTGAGGATTAAAGGAGATAAGCTTGTAAGTTGCTTTGCCAGGGCTAGAGCTTACTATCGTAGGATTTATGCATTGCACAGCTGCAGAGGGAATCAACCCTCTCATCGTCATCATGGATATGCGTAGTGATTCGTACGGTTTCTTGAGGAGGGAGCAGATCTTTCCAGTACCTGCACAAAGTCGTCACATTTGGTAGGAGCGGGTGCATGTTCAGCTCTCGCTGGTACTGCTGCTGCTACTGCTCTTGTCACTTCTGGAACCTCCAGTGTTCTTCCCTCTGCCACTGCCCGTCTTCCTTGCTTCCAGAAGCCTCAGCCTAGCCCTGGAGGGAGAAAGTTGGATGAGTCAGAGGAGCTACTCTGGTTTTATTATTTTGTTTAATATTTTTAAAACTAGTAGAGGATAACTGTTGTGTTTAGCATTTTATAAAAGAAGAGAATGTTCTGCTTTTTCTGAAAGCCTATGGTCCCTAAGTGGTAGACTGATAAAGCAGGAATATAAACCCAGGTCTGTCTGATTTTTTTCCCCCATTAATACATACTGTTAATACCCAGATGAAATGTCTGTCCCTGCTTTCAGCGACAGGGAGAACTGACTCAAAGACCATGTGAGAGGTTTGTGGTCAGAAAGCTGTGTGAATGTGAAATGCTGACATGTTTACTATCTGATTATGGATGCCCAGGAATTCCCTTCGACATGTACAGGTAGAGGTCATAAGGTAGAGTCTTCCTTTTCCTAAGAGAGAAGTCATGGGATTTGAAGAAGACTCGCTGATGTTTTATCTCTTTGCTAATGTTTTCATTTTATTCCACAGCCCAGAAATGTTCTTGGTCTCTGAGCAGATTACATTTTCATAGCTATGCGGAGGACTTAACTCCCACGGATGTTAATGGAAGCCATATAGCAATGCAGCACTTTCAAAATGTACCACTTAATGTCTGAACCTTTTAATCATGCTAGAAATTTGTTTTTCTAGCAAATAAACACAAATCTATTTTTGTACTAACAAAGAAAAGAAGCAAGCTCTCATTCTGTTGCACTCTTCTCTTGGAGTGTATACTGACTCTCTCTTTGGAAATTCACTAAACATCTGTGAAGCTTTCCTCCAGACTTGATGGCTTCCAGACTTAAATATGACTCCCATTTATTTCGAGACAAACAACCAAACAAACAATATCTTTAAATTTTTTTACCTTAAACTTCTATGGGCAAATTTTTTCTAGGAAGGGTCAGAGAGCCAGCCTGTATCATGGATTTACTTAGAAAAGCAACATAAAGAGTTTAACCAAAGGAGTGGGACTATTTAGCCCGGTATCCTCTGCCTGGTAAACTCAGCACAGCAGACAATGAGAACTGGAGTGGCAGTGGACCCCACAAGGGCTGGGAATAAACCATTGTGTTTTCATTGCTTAGCATGTGGCGACGTTATCATGGATGTGCTCTGATGCCGTTACCATTATAGAACAACATTAATGAAAAGATTCTCTATCTTCAGCTTGAGAAATGAGTTTGTTTGTTGCCTGTTTTTCTTTCGATACCAGTTCTCCAGGTGTGGTCCCTGGACTGACAGCATCAGCCTCATCTGGGAACTTGTTAGAAATGCACATTCTTAAGCCTTCAACCAAATGTACTGAATCCAGAATCTCTGAGACAGGGGCCCAGGAATCTGGCTTTAAACAAGCCCTTCCGGTGATGCTGGTGCATGTGGACATTTGAGAACCAACGGTCTAGGTGCTGGCTGAAGTTTCGAATTTACCCGAGCACTGTTTGTGCCTCCTGGGTGGGGGGAGGTTTATTGCAGCCTATTGTGTGCTCTTCACACTGGTTAACAATGCTTGTGCTTTGTCGATCAGTGCTCTGTTTCACGATGTATTGAACCTCAGGGTACAGAGAGGTGGAACCCGAGACTCAGGAAGAAATCAGAAGTGGAGAGAGAAACAAGGGCCCAGGTACATGGATTCTAGTGCACAGGTAAAGGAGGTCAGGCACCAGCCTTCTTCCTAAAAGGTCGCAGCAGCAGTTGCAGTATTTTTGAACTATGGGCCTGAGGTTACAAAATGGAGTGAGACAAAACATCATTTGGGAAGTCAAATATAAAAGTGAGTGATAAGCTAAATTCAGTGCTGCTTTAGTGACAGTTGTGTGCAATCTGCTTTTAGCTACTGCATCCCTCAAGGAATATGTATTTCTGCTATAGCCCTTACCATGATGCATGGAAATTACTGGTTAACCTGTGTCCTTAACTCTGGGAAGGCAGTGAACACCATGCTTTTATTGATTTTTGGTATCCTTTAGTACGTGCCTAATACATTGTGTGTGTTCAGTGGATATCTGTTAAACAGAAGCAGACACTTCTGGTCTGGGGGGAGCTGCATGTTCGCCAAATAGGATGTCACTGAGAGTGAAAGGGAAGCACACAAAGAACACAAACTCGGGAAAAGCTTAAGAGATTGAGTGATCAGAAGGGAAGCATGGAGCTTAATAGGGACCATATTCAGTGGGAGCCTGATAAGAGAAAATGCTGTGATTGGAAGTATGACTCTGCTTCCTGAGGACTGAAAAAGGAAAGGAGATGGTGAGAAAATGGGATGTTTGGAGGAAAACAGACAGGGTTGCATATGAAGAGGGCAACTTGGATTGTAACGTTTGACAAGAATAGAGCGTTGAGAAAACAGAATGGAGCAAGTTAGGGGCAGCAGAGAAAAGACGGGATGGAAGTTATGAAATACCATGAGCAGTAAGAGAATATAGAACGCAGCGGGGAGGGAGTGGGAATGAGAATTTTGTATTTTACTTGATCAGCTAGATGGAAGGACTTTAAAGTTCATTGTTGTCTTACTGTTTCATCATCCAAGCAGAGTCCAACTCACACGATGAAGCTATCTGTCAGTGCCTCCACAGCTGCCCAGCCATCTTCCCTGAGAGCCCCCACTGCATATTTTGGTCCTTGGCAACGCAAATTGTTTCTCTTCAACTGATTTTAGAGGCTTTCTCTTGATAACAAGGCACTGAGCCAGCATCCATCCCTGAAAACCAAAAGGGAAGGGCCAGTGGGCTCCAGGGTCAGGGCTTCCCTCAGGAGCCATCTCTCTTCTATCTGACTGCCTCTTAACGAGGCTGGAGATGCACAGCAGAGTGGTCCAAGGAAGGAGTGCTCTTTATTGCAACACTGGGTACTTTTCTCACTGAGTATACGTTTCGTGCTTTGGGGGTGCTCTCAGCAAATTCTCAGGGCTACAGTAGGTCCTCAGCTATGGGGTCAAAAGCATCGGCTTTTGTAATGAGTAAGCTACTCATTTACAGTTGGAGCACAATGCCTGTTTTATTTTGTTTTTAGGAATTTGCTGTTACTTTTTCCCCCTTAAAATGCATGTTAATTTTAGGAATTAAGCATGTAAGTAAGCAAAAGGAACATCAAATTCTCCAAATCTTACCAAGCCAGAAATAACTGTCATCATCTTGGGATTGTGTTTTCTCGTACATATAGGTGTGTTTGCGTCCTACAAAAGTAAACAGATTCCTTCAGGAAAATGCATTGGTGGGAAAGTACATTGATCCCATAGTTTACGTGCTCCATTGTGCTCTCCACTCCTGTAGTTTACTGAATTGAAGCATCTGTGATGAGAAAGGGAAACCCCAGGTTTCCATGAGTTCCCTCTCCATCTTGCATTTTAAGCTTTTCTCCTTCTCAGGTTCTTTTACATCCCTCACTTCCAATCTAAATTAAGCCTGGGTTGCCCCAGGACCCCCGCCCAATGCTTCCCTCCCCTTTTAACTTTATTTTTTGCAACAGTTCTCTAGAAACCCTTTACCTTCTCAACCTGCCCAATAGGGCTTTTGCCTGGTCCTTACCCCTAGGTTTCCCTGTCCTTCAATCTGTGTTCAAAATATTCTCAGTCATGCACCAGTGATCATCAAACTTCAAAATCCAAAGAATCTGTTTTGGTCCTTTTTGGACTGGGCTTTTCTGCTGCAGTTGGCACTTAAGGTTATTGCTTCTTAAAATTCTAGGCTCTTAGCTTCTGTGACTGAGCCTGAGTTTATTTCCCATCTCTGCCACCTAGAGGTAGCTATGCAACTTTGGGCAAGTGTCTCAACCTCTCTGTGCTCTGTTTGCCTCATTTGTAAATTAGGGATAATAGTAGGACCTACTGCATAGGTGTTTTGTTTTTTTTTAATACGTATTAAATGAAGTAAAAGTTACAAGTTACTTCGAATACTACTGAAGAAATTATTGTGATCAGGTGATTGATGTTCTCCCAAACCTGATCATTTCATGCAGGTTAGTTTTTGAATCAAGACTGATGGATTCCTCAAAATTCTGATCACTCCATTCATAATTGCTCAAAACTCTTAAGTTCCAAGAACTGTCTTCATTGCCTGCTTTTATATAACCTGTCTCTTTGCCCATATTTTCTATTCTACAGCTGTTTGTAAACACTGGAATTCGGGTGCACCAACTTTCTTCATTTTCTTGCTTACAGTAGGAATAGATCAGGTCTGACTTCTCTGATTTGCAGGGGGACACAATTTTGTATTAATTGCCTGGAAGAAAACAACTTTCAGGTTAAGTGCTACCAAAAAATATTTCCTCCTCTTTGCAGAAATCATTTGTTCTAATATATACATGTGATACAGATATGTGTATGTATGTTTTGGATGTGTATGTATGTGTGTGTGTATATATATGTATGCATGTATATGTATATGTATGTATATATATATTCCTTTGAGAAAACAAAGACTCTTTTAGCTGCCTAGAGTTTGGATGTCAAGTAGACAAGTTTGTCCTTAAGACTCTTATTAAAAGTCTTCACTTCCCCCAATACGCACAACTTCATGCTAGCTCCTGGCTTCCCAAGGGCCCCTGTTGCCAACTTTGGAAACACCTATACCCTGGAATGCACTCTTTTTCCTTAAGAACCATCAGACAGACAGACAGATACACCCACACACAGGAAACGTGCGTACACACAACATGGAATCCTTTCTTAAAGTCCCATTTTCGTAAAGTGGCATAAATGTTCATAAATAACCAATCCCCAGGACCTTGTCTTCAGTGAAAATCCAAGTGCCTCCTGGAAAGTGACATTAGTAGTGGGAATTTAACCTCTGAGAATCTAATGTGAACAAAAGACTCCACTTTCCACCCCTGGCTATACATTAACTCCATAGGCACATAATTTTGGGAGGGTTGTGAATTTCCTGATATTGGTCCATGGAATCCAAGTTAATCAATAGAAACCTGGAGTTGTAATGATTATTTCTATATCCATAAAATGCTAACAAGGAAATATTTTTCACTGAAGTACACCTTGAAATTTAACCAGTCAAAAAGATTATTTAATGTGGTCAAACCAGCTGTAAATACATGAAGCCCTCTCATTGTGTTAAGTATAGGTAAAAAAAATCTTTATTAGATAACAAAGTACAAGATAGTTGGTACCTGACATACCCAAGACTGCAAAAACATTGTGTAAGAGAAATTAATACTAACAGAAATTTACCTAACTTTTGTCACCTGTTTTTTTAAACCTTTTACAGGTTAGTGTTCATTTCCACTCTCTTGAAAATCTAGTGAACACTTAGCTAGGAAATGAAACAAAACACAGCTATATTGTATTATACATCATTAGTGGATGATTGATGAAAATAAAGAATAATATAATTAGAAATTAAATAGTATCCAGGATTCAGAATAGCAGAATATATGTGTCTTGTTTTGTCTTTTATGTAGAAAAGAAAATTCATATTACTTTAAATATACATTGGAAATTTGGGGACTGTAGGTGTATATCCATGAGACCCATTTTAGACTTCTTGATCAGAATTAAAAGATTAAAGGGCATTTATAAAATCTATAGTTGTATGTACACCCTGCCAAACAAGTCTAAAATTTGCTCAAAGTGACAACACTGGAATGGGACGATTTATTCTTATTTCCATTTATCCTTTCAACAGACCCATCCTCTTTGTGTTGTAATCACTTTTCACAGTTCAGTGATTTCTCTGATATTATCTTAAAGCATGGTTTCTCGAAACGGTCAGAATTAAACAGCATCCCAGAAACCCTAGGGGCAGCACACAGCCAAGAGCCTCAAACTCATTATTGCAGAAGGCAATTATCAAAATAGAACGATGCCTTCATTTAATATGGTTTAGAATTGAGAAGAGAGTGTTTTATTTATATATTCAGTTTTTGCCTTTTTGAGTGTCGCTGTGTTCCTTTTTTTCCCCTTCTGAAGCTCCTGCCAAGCAAATGTGGCAGTACTGACAGTTGCCACTTTAAGCAGCCCTGCCATTCCCTTCTGTTCCCCCTCCATGTGTCCCTCTAGCTGGGCCAACAGTGAGGTGACTACAAAGAGGTACAACTGGCAGAAATTAGTAAATATTTTAAAACTCAGAAAACAATACACACTGCACATACTAGGTAGATGTTTATACATCAGAGCCGTGGAGCCAACAGCTGCAGACACAGCCTTGCAAAATTCATACTTGCATCAAGTGCATTCATCCTTGATTTAAGATTAGCTTTTAAAGGAAAAGCCCTGGGTATCATTTTCTCTCCACATTGTATTGGACTACTTTGCATATAATTAAGCTGCATATGTCTCATGCGGCGGGAAATCTCTAGGAATAAAGCCCTGAGTTGCTGCTTTTATACTGTTCTCAATTTAAGAGCAGAACATAAGGAAACATGCCCATTCGCATGCACTTATAACAGCAGAGACTGAGGAGTGTCTTAATTAGTTTTAATCGTGAGGAGAATGGGAATTAGATGATGTGCATTTCTGCTGAACTTAGCACAATAGAAAATGCGCTTAGACGGCAACAACACAAAAAATTGCGTTACCTACATGGATAAGTTTCCTGATGCT